GATTCTCAGGAATGGCTGTAGATTGCGTCACCCCCTGTTATGGAGCTCAGTGCTCCAGAAACCCAGCTCCTCACAGAGTTATCCCTTGCTGCTTTAATTCAGCTAAGCCAAACTTAGAGCTTGGCTGCTTATTTAAAGCCACATGGTATAACTGGATTAATAGCGCTGAAGGCCAGCCACTTCTGTCAGTTGTTTCTTTTCTCATTTCCCCCTTCCTATCTCTGCAAGGTGTTCTCGGTGCGGAAACCACAGTAGTTTTCATGTGGCACTCCCAAGGTCCACTTGGCTTGTGAGTCACTGGAGCCCCAGCCTCTGACTCCAAGGAGACAAATGCTGATGGTCAGGTCCTCTCCTGAACTCTGCTATTGCAGCCCCAGAACAGATTAAACTGGATAGAATTGTTGGTATTCATACTTTGAATAGCATTTTTTCCAAAACGGGGTAGAGGATATAGCACAATTTGTGAAAAGTCACAAGCAAGCCTGGTATTTTACTAAGCTCGTGACTGGGTTACTACTGAGAGCTTCTGATGTGCATTTTTTCTTCTTCTGAAAATATAGTTTGAAGAGAAACTAATATGTCAACAAAGGTGATGACAGTACCATTCCTTCTATTGCGAGCCCACCTAGTGTGGCATTAAAGAAGATGAATTGATTCCTCAAGAGATTAATTTCTAAGTCTCAACAGTTAATTGATTTGAAATTATTAAGGAAAACTCTGAGTTGGCTTTGGTTTGAGCCAAAGCTTTCATGTTTTCCTGCTTAATCAGACCTTATAGCTGTCAGGGCTACGAAGACACTTCTGTGGTGAATAAGGTAAAGATAGAAACTCTCCTGTTGATTATTTGATGGAATTACCGTTGTGTTTTGAAAAGGAAAGAAAGTTCTGATAGACGAGTCTTTTTCTCTTTCTGAAAATGCAACAAAATTGTCATCCTCGTCGTTGTCTAGAACTGCAAAAGTCAAAGCCCTTAGTAAGAATAAAAGCTTCTGTTACTGGCTGCCATTGACATTTGTAGTAAAATACTTGGGGGATTCAACTGCAAGTGATGCTATACACTTTTTTTAAAGAATAGTTATCCGACATCTTCAAATTTGTGTTAATAAAACAGTTACGGAATCTGTTGAATGACTAGTGATATACCTGCTCTTAATATTTTTTGCACATTGACATGGAAATTTAATCTACTGAAAAATGCTTAGATTTATATTGAGGGTCCCTGAGGAGAACCCACAGTCATCTAAAGAGTCAGTTTATTGGAGGAATACAGTTGTAAACAACTTTCAGTGTAAAGAGTTGAAGCACTTTTTTTAAAATGTCTTTGAAAAATTCTGATGTTCTGATATTTGTTACAGCATAACTAATACTATTTTTGACTAGTAGAGATGTATACTGTAAAAAATCTTAATTGACTCTCAGCAGATGGAATTAACGATGTGGCGTTATTTATAAAGATAAAACATTGTACAAAATCCACTGGCTTTGAATACATTAGCTGCTAGGACACCAGGGCCAAGTTGTTTAATATCTTAAAGACTAATTGCAGTGCCAGATATTGCAAATACAACTGAGTTGCATCCAGCGTAGGGCATAATACAAGGAAAGATTAAGTTCAGCTCTTCCTGCCTGTCCCAGCCTTTAGAACAGCTGGCAGGAATGAAACATGAGAACATTAAGATCAAGAATGTTTTACTATCTTATTGGAGGAAAAAAATAATGAGTCACTGATGCCAGAAGAAATATCTAAATCATAGGAACAGCTGATCAGGAGTTTGATGGGTATTGTATCCCTGGGAGAATAGAACTGCTAGACCATATTAGTAGTGATGAGTATTGCCTTCTTGGCAATTTCTTCTCCCACAACCAGTGACAAAAGGCAGCAGTTTAAGGCACAGCTGGGCCAAGGTCAGATGAGTTAGCTACAGATTCAGGATAGTGTAACTTATGAAACCAAAGATGAATACAGAAAAGCATCTTGCAATCAGGATATCTGAAGAGACACTAAGACTGAGGGGACACAGAAAGACCTTTGCTCACTCAGGAGTCATAACAAATGAAGCAGAGAAGCAATACAAAATATGGGTGAGTTGCCACTAGAGGAAAGAAGGAAGCAACGGGAACAACACACAAAAACAGTATCAACAGCAGGTGCTATCAGCCAGAAAGGCAGATGCTGAGCAGAGCAATGACGACCAGCAGGGGTGCGGGAGGGAAGAGTTTAGCTTATAGGAGGAAAGAGTTTCAAGAATACTCTAGGCAGTCAGTGTTCATATGAGGTGGGATTCATTTTGCTTAATTTTGGCTGTCGTGAAGGTACACGAGGTAAGCCTTTAGTCTAAATTAGGTGAAATCCGCAGAGAGAGAGGCATGTTCTACATGTCTGAGAGAATTTATTTAAGGATAAGATCCCTCATGTGGATGAGATGCCTGTCTCTTCCTTGACTGCAAAATTAGCCTAGCTTAGTCTTTGTGCCTAACTTTCAGGCAGTCTTTTTTGCAGATTTTTACAATAGGACAAAATAAATACAGGCACTGTGTTATTTTGAATAGTACCAATTAATACTCAGAATTTTAAATGCAGTTGAAGCATTTCTATAAAATAATTACTGATGAGATGACTTAGTCTTATAATAATGAAGTCTTTTCATTATATTGCCAAGCATATTATTCCTTAAACTATGTTTTACCTTCACTCAGATGAATCTTTTTAAAGCCAGGGATCCATTTGTGACAGCAGATCAGCACAAAGCACTTTTAACCTTTTAGTAGTAATGACAGGAAATCAATCTGTTAAATTGTGCATTTCTTACTATATTTCTGTAACGTGATTAAAATGCCACATGCAACATGGTATTATAATTACATTCCTAATATTGTCTGATATTATTGTGTTTCTAGTGTTGGTTGAGTTTTTCCTAGTTTTAATTAAACTGAGTCAATTTCAGTATCAAAATGGCTGGGAGCCATTTGGCTATATTACTGTCATTCAGACAAGTAAATATTCTAGTAAAAGTTTTATATGGGTAGTATTAGCAGAATATTGCAGTTATGGCCAAATGCTAAATTAAAGGAAATCAACTTATTAATGATTGATAACAACCAGTATCAGACTAAAGCAGAAGAACTTTTTAGGGTTCAGGACTCTTTTTTTTTTTTCCAAAAAAAATCTTTTATTATAAAATGGCTTAAGATTTGGAAGAATAACTGTTTGCCCCAGCTGAAAAATACAAAATTATTTGAATTAGGAAAATTAGGTACAGGAGGAGGGGTAATTAAAATATTTAAACTTAATACAGTTAATCAAAAGACAAGCATGATTAAATATGAGAGACTGAATATGAATTAATATTTGAAAACAATTCAAGGGAGAAGAAAATTTCAAAATAACTAAAATGTTGTTAAAATGGATAATGTTTGACAATAACTAAACCAATAATTTCACTTTATATCCAAAACAAGCCACAAGTTTGTTAAGACAGTAAAGTCAAAGAATAATGGGACAGCTTTTTGATGAGGAAAACCTGTCAAACCTTTTATTTGTTTGTTTTTTTTTTTTTCTTGCTTGCAGTGAAAGTCACATTTGATAATTTTTTCACGTTGTTTGCATGAAGTTGGATTTTAGTAATATCTAGTGTCATGATCTGACGTTGAAGGGTTCTAGCAAATCTTTCTGTTTCAAATAATTTGCAATTATTTCTGACATGCTCCAAATCTATTTCTCCAAAAGCAATTTTTTTTTTATTTCCATTCAATATATTCTATCAATTGCCCAATTATTACTTTGGCTAAATATTTCATCCTTTTCAGCTACCTGTGTTCAGAAATACACAGAATCAAAAAATAGTTGAGGTTAGAAGGGACCTTTAAATATCATCTAGTCCAACCCCCCTGCTCAAGCAAGGTCAGCTAAAGCATGTTGCCCAAGGTGCTGTCCAGGCAGATTTGGATATCTCCAAGGATGGTGACTACACAGCTGTTCACAGACAACCAGCTCCAGTGCTCAAGCACTCTCCCAGTAAAAAGGATCCTTATGTTCAGACAGAACTTTCTGTGTTTCAGTTTGTGCCCGTTGCCTCTCGTCCTGTCACTGGGCACCACGGAGAAGAGTCTGGCCCCATCCTCTTCACGCCCTCCCTTCAGATACTTATACGCTTTGATCAGGTTACCCACTCGGTGTTCTCTTCTCCAGGCTGAACAGGCCCAGCTCTCCCAGCCTTTCCTCAGAGGAGAGATGCTCCAGTCCCCTCTTCATCTTAGTAGGCCTTCCCTGGACTCACTCCAGTAGATCTGTATTCCTCTGGTATTGAGGAGCCCAGAACTGGACAAAGTACTCCAGGGCTGAGTAGAGGGAGTACTACTGCCTCGACCTGCTGACAGTGTTCTTGCTCATGCAGCCCAGGATCCCGTTGGCCGCCTTGGCCACCGGGGCGCATTGCTGGCTCATGGTCAACTTGCTGTCCAGCAGGACGCCCAGGGCCTTCTCTGCAGAGCTGTTGTCCAGCAGGTCAGCCCCCGGCCTGTCCTGGGGCATGGGACCCTGCATTCCTGGTGCATTCCTCCCCAGGAGCGGGACCCTGCACTTGCCTGTGTTGAGCTTCAGGAGGTTCCTCTCTGCCCAACTCTCCAGCCTGTCCAGGTCCCTCTGAATGGCAGCACAGCCCTCTGGGGTATCAGCCGCTTCTCTCAGTTTTGTGTCCTCAGCAAGCTTGCTGAGGATGCACTCTGTGCCTTCCTCCAGGTCACTAATGAGGAAGTTGAACAAGACTGGACCCAGTATTGATGCCTGTGGCAGACTGCTCGCTACAGGCCTCCAACTAGACTCTGTGCCACTGACCACAACCCTCTGAGCTCTGCCATGCAGCCAGTTTTCAGTGCACCTCACAGTCTGCTCATCAGACCCACGCTTCCTGAGCGTGCCTGTGAGGATGTGATGGGAGGCAGTGTCCAAAGCCTTGCTCAAGTCCAGGTAGACAACATCCACTGCTCTGCCCTCCTCTCCCCAGCCAGTCACCCCGTCATAGACGGCTGTCAGGCTGGTTAAGAATGCTTTCCCCTTGGTGGAGCCATGCTGCCCACTCCTGATCACCTTCTTGTCCCCCACGTGCTTAGAGATGGTGTCCAGGCTGAGCTGTTGCATCACCTTTCCAGGGCTGGAGGTGAGGCTGACTGTCCTGTAGTTCCCCAGGTCCTCCTTCTGGCCCTTTGTGAAGGCTGGAGTGACACTGGCTTTCTTCCAGTCCTCGGGCACCTCTCCTGTTCTCCATGTCCTTTCAGAGATGAACAAGAGTGGCTTAGTCATGACACCCGCCCGCTCCCTGAGCACCTGGGTCCCTGTACCTCTGACATCTGCCCCCAGAGGTCTGTAGTCATGTTTGATACTTTCCAAGTTGACCTTGGCAGTATTGTTAGTGCCCATATGGAAGAGCAGCAGGGGGTAATAGTCGGAGTGGTTGACAAGCTTGGGCATTCTCTCCACGACATCCCATATGTGAGCTCCCAGCAGACCTCTCTAGACAGGAGGTCAGGTTGGCAGATGGGTGCCTCTGTCCCCTGCAGCAGAGAGTCACCCAGAACTATCATTCACTGCTTCCTCCAGGTGTTCCTACATGGCTCAGAGTCCGTCCGCCCAGACGCTTCACTTGAAGCCATAGCCAGTTCCTCCTCAGCTTGAAGATCACTGAACCTGTTCATTAGCTGCAAGCCTTCAGGAGGAGCAGGAGCCTTCCTCCTGAGATGTCACCAGCTTCTAGCCTTCACCTTCCTAGGAGTTACCACTTACTGTCCTGCAGGGCACAGACCCCACTGCCTTTGGGGGCTGGGCTCTTGAAGATGCAGGGTCTCTGAGAAGATCCTATCTATCCTCTCACTCATTGTCTCTGATGCTACGCAGCCTGCTAACTTTCTCCCGTAACTCCTTGCCCTGGTGACACAACTCGTCAGCAACAGCACACCTTCTGCAGGAAAGGTGACTGTCAGCCCTGGCCTCACAGAGAGGCCCAGGCTCTCCCTGCAGCCTGAGACCTGCAGAGCTGCATCCTCTGTCAGATGGTCTGTTTGGGTCGAAGCCTCCGACATGGCAGGGAGAGTGACTCCAACAGCTACAGGGGAACATGCCCTGTGGCATGTCACAACCATAGCTGAGAACATGTATGCTGCTCCGAACAGAGACGAGTAGTCATTCTTTGTGTTCTTCTGTGCTCACTGCTGCAAAAACTGCTGTCTGTTGGCTGCCTCTCTTAGCTGCACTCTGCATTTTTATAAAACTTGATTAAATTAGGTCTTTTTAATAACAGATTAAGTATTTTGCATTACTAGGCCTTTAGCTAAAATGTATCTCAGGTTCCATGCTTCCTTTTCATCTTTTTTTATCCTCTTTTAAAAACAGATTTCCATTGATTCTGCTATTTCCATTCATTCAGGCATCACGTTGTGGGCTCAATTCCGTTTCCTTTAACTGTGTCATGTGAAACAGTTACTAGAGAACTCTGTGTTCAAAGCCAGACAGCTGATACATCCCACACATTTTACGGTAATAGAACAAGTTAGCCTTCTCTTTGTTTTCTCTCAGATATCGTTTGTGCGCATTGCTTAACCTCTAGAAAGACAGCCTAGTTCATTTCAGCCAGCCTAAAATTTCATACGATTGAGAATTTGGGTATTGCTTTGCTTTGTTATTCAACATTGTTTTTACAAGACATTCCTAAGGGATTCTTCAGGCAATTTTTGAACAGTATATTGCTCTTTGGGACGTCAAAACAATTGTAGTGACAGTTTATAGAAAAATTTAACAGTTGTTAGGAATAAAAAAGGCATATGTATACTATTCCCCAGTTAAAAAACAGAAAGCAAACTCAAATCGGAATCAGGATTAACAGCTATTATTCCCAGGCAACGTTATTAGAGGAACATCTGAATAAACCATACACATTTTTGACAGCTATATTTTTGACAGGTAACTACTGGCAATAGGAAATCTATGATTTTTAAGACCTTTTTTGAGGTATTTTGTCTTTTCTTTAAAGTAAAAGTGAGGACTCTTTTGCCATTGGAATGAATGGTTAGAAGACCCAAAGGAATATTTAGACTGTTTCTTGAATTGAAATTCCATCTGAATCAGTCTGCATCCATTTAGATAAGAAGAGTTTTACCGCGGGGTGAAATGTAAATGGCCAACTTTTTATTGTGCTGTTCATTTGGAGGTTTCACCAAGTTAGCCTTAAAAGTGTTATAAGTCACTAAAACAGCTCGAATCTATGATCTAAAGTAAATTGTAGAAGTTTCTAAAGAGGAAAATCATTTCTGTTACCTCCTTTTGCTATAAATCTTCTTTCCTTCACCTATGTTTTGACATACTCTCCAGTCAAAGATCTTATTCTTTCATATACAACTGACATAGCAAAAAGTAAAATCTATATTAGCAAAGCACTTAACTGTTAAGTGTTTCACTATATGCTAAGGGACATATACCTCAGTACTGTCTTGGGTCAGGCCCTTACTCTATTGTTTCTTTTGGCTTATTGAAGAAACTGCATTTTTGGGAAGCAACAGTGTGCTTATTGTGCACCACTTAGCTTTCTCTGGCATAATAGAAATGGAAAGAATTTGTATATATTTCTTTAAAAACAAAAAAAACCTCAGTGGTCATAGTAAAATAATTGTACATTATTTTCAGTAAATTATGTTTTATTATAAACAGTGTATTATATGAACAGTATATATATTGTAGGCTTAAATATAAATATAGTATAAAAAAGTATAATTTTTTGTAACTACCATGATTCTTCTTTTCTTCTGATAGGAAACTGCCACTAAAGGAGGAAAATGGAAAAGAAGCTTTAAATCCAGAAACCATAGAAATCAAAGTTGCTAATGACATCATCCAGTCAAAAGAAGATGATAGCAAAGCATAATAAGATAAACTACAGCTGTCTGAAAAATGCATTTGAATTGAAGTAACCCCGTGACCAAAACTTTATGGCTGACCTTAATTTCTTTGGAAACTTAAGCTTGGAATAGTTAGTACCTGTGTACATATGATGAAACTATTTCTGTCTACAGTTTCTTTCTATTTTTTGTTAATGGTTTTAGTATGTAGTTTTGCTGACACCAGTCCCATGGTATAAAATTTGAAAAATCTGCAGAATAAGAACTGTAATATATTATATGACAAAGTATGTCTGTTTAGAAGACTACTTTATGAAGCACCCCTAACCTCCACCAACACGTCGGGTCTCTCCAGATCTTACAGTACAAGCTACATATGTAAAGGAAAGTGCCATATACTGTTGTATTTATTTTCATTTGTAATAAAGCAAGAGTTTAGGTTGCCTCTAAAAAAAAAAAAAAAAAAAACAGTCTCAGTATGACATTTAAGACCTTAAAGCTGGCAAACACTCAGTAGCCATCCCAGCTGTGCTTATCACTTGAAACAAAACAAGAAACTGTCTTCGGCATAGAGCCAGCCCCACCCACAGTTTCACCTGACTTCTTTGGTATATTCAAAGATTAATAACCGAGATGTGCAGATTTAAAACAAAATGGCTAAATATTTTGTAGACCTATATTGCCTTCATCCTATCTATAGGAGTGTGATTTTGAAAGGCCGTAGGATTTTCAGTGCTTCAGGTATTCTCTATTAATGTTTGGAAGGCCATGTGTGAACTGAAATGTGGCAAATGTGTGAAAGGAAACTGATTTTTGATAATAACTTTTGGCTTCAAAGGAACCTTTACAATAAATATAAGCTGAAATCAGCTGCCCCAATGTATTTATACATATATGGTATTCATTCTTCTGTTAGTTCTAACCATGTAGTCAAGGGATGAAACTGCATTTTAGTGTAATGGATACATTTTCACCCCAAATCATTACATAAAATATTAAAAATTGTCCGTATTTAAGGAGCACTTTCTACTTTATGATTTCATATCCTTTGCCTTAACAGAAAACACAAGAAAAGATGGATAGAAGAACTTTGGCTAAATGGTTAAGAACAGTTTTAAGTGATTACTTAGTAGCATCTAGTACTAGGCCAAATACATTTTTTTCCTGCTAAGCATTCTTGAAGATAATCTTTTTCTTATTCTGGTTAACATACACTACTAAGGAAAATTTTCTTATTTATTATCGTTGATTTTATGGTGTTACTAATGGGAGCAATATATTTTGTTCCCTTTCCAGCACAATATATCCACATCTACCAAAGTGTTCAAAGTCTTGCTTTGGAGGAAGTAGATAAACTCTACAGGAAGCTGGATTAGAAAATTCTACTTGACAGGAGCAAATTATACAATACCTTGTGAATTTTCCACATCAAAGTCATACCTGAGGCTTAAATGTAACTTTACTCAGCAAATTACATCCCCTCCATGGTATGTCTGAATTTTGCTCATAGTCACAGCACCTAGACTGCCTAACTTCCCACAGAATGTCTTCAATCCTTCGCTGATATTTGGTAGTTATGGCAAGTGATTGAC